CACTACACAACGCTTCTCAAAAGTATGATTAAGTATCATAAGGACACCATCTCTCTTCCATTTAGAATGATCGTCTTTCCTTGTATTTGAAATAAATTGAGTAAATAGACAAGCTTAACTGTGTACAGGTTATTGGATTTGAGAGCTGGATAATGTTATGTTTGAAATCCAAGAAGAACTCTGGTTACATAGTTGGTGGAGGTTCCCGTCATAACTTCTTAGGTTCTTTTGGGCAATGGAGTATGGATATCCAGGGAACTACATATTCTTTTGACCTCCTTTTACGAGAAATTATCAGTGGAAGGCCAATTTATTGCAAAGACCATGGGTGTTTGATGGATTGAGTAAGAAAATTAAGCTTATTTCCATAATCATTTTTCTATTCGAAATCCTCCTGAAAATGAGAAGGTTGATTATCTAGTTTCCTAATTGATGCGTAATCATGATAGCTAATGAATAAGTTAATGATTCTTCTTTTAAGGCATGCAGCTTTTTCCAAGAGAGATCTTGCTTTCAATGCGAAGATCAGTGAATTAATGGTTTTTTTCCCTCTCATAGTTAGAAGAAGAGCTTTGCTACAGGGACCCAAAATATGGGACCAATAAAGGGGACAAGTGAGGTGTCCCCCTCCTATTGGATAATGAGTTGGTCATCATTAATGATGGCCAACTCATTATCCAATAGGAGGAAAACACCTCACTTGTCCCCTTTATTGGTCCTATATTTTGGGTCCTTAAAGAATTTTTCTTAGAAGAACTGCATGTCAATTTTCATTAAATGCCAAACTGCATTCCTCTTCAGCCTATTTATAATGAACAACTGATTCTCCCACTCCCTGATTATAAGTTTTCCCTGATTATAAGTTTTAATACATACAAATCATGACTAACAGCTTCTATTCATAATTTATACATCTGTTGCCTACTTTACACTGTCATTTAAGCAGAAAATCATGACCTATGTGCTCTCTTCCCCTCTTCCTATCTAGCACTTATATATGTGCCTTTCATATTTAATAATATTGTTTTATGAATGAATGACCTTCTAACATGTTTAGAAACTGGGAAGGCCAATATTTGGAAAATATTTGTTTTTATCGGATTTATTGCAGACCATAGAGCATTTGCATCATCCAAAAGAGATAGGCAAGCCTCTAGATCCCAAACTTTAAAATGTGAAGCCGGATGACCTAGGCTAGTAGTGGTACGTTGTACGGTTAACCTGTGCATTGAACTCCATCCCTCTAAAAGGCTGTCCATGCAAATTACAAACGGAGTGCTTGAAAATGGAATTGACACATCAGAGGATGCCATTCTTAGGGATTCATCTTTGACCTGGGTAGAGCTAGCCTTATCATCACAGGTATATTCTACTACACTGTAAATCTAAAATGTATGCATGAAATCCCTTGTTTCATATTTTGCTTCCCTGTCTTGTTTGTTCCTTGGGGTTTCAACAAGAGTTTGCTTGGATATTAAGAGGCGTGCATGTCCAAGCCAAGTTTTCTTGTGTACATTTGTGGGGCAAATTAACATTGACATTGTTATATAAAGAATCATTTCTTGGTTTTCTGGTTCTTGTCACATGTCATCTTTGAGTTTGTATTTCTTCTTGGTTCTTAGATAAATTATACTATGAGCTGTAATGGGGCATGCACAGCAGATCACTGCCGTTATGCTTTCATAGACTCACTGCCGTTGAGAATTGAAAGTTTAAAATTACAAAGGACCATGCTTGCTTTTTAATTCTCCTCGTATTTCGTTCTTCTTTCTGCTTCATTCTGGATAAGTTCTTACGTTGAACATATTGGTTGACAGGAAACCTCATATTAGGTCATAAAGAATATTAATACAGTCATGTGAACAAGGTCAGTAATCAGTATCATCAAATATTTGATAACTATCTTTCTCCTCAAGCCTTCGATCTGTTATGCTGTCATTTGAATTTTTTTTTTCGTGAATGGTTATGGGGACATGCCATAACACTGCAATCTCGGTTTTATAATAGTCAATATATATATATACACACACTAGAAAATGAAAACCATAGTATTTCTGGTTTTCATCTAAATGGCAATGTTGTACCGTGGAGTTCTAACAACTGTGAGATTTTCATACAGTGGCAATAGGATTTCACACGCACGTGTTTGGCTGATGTATGGTAAGGTACCTCATGCTTATAGTTGGTGGCAGCAAACTTCTATTGTGTCCTTGGGTTTATCTGCATCAATCTATTAGAAAATTGAGATCTTTTATAAAGCCAGAATATGTTGATGGAACCTGCAGTATTTGTGCAGAAAGCCAGCTGATAGACAGTGCTTGAAGAACTCTACTTACTATTAGAGTTGAAGGTCTACACTGATATAACAAGTCAGCAATGCCAGCAAAATGATGCACGTACTTGCATGGTATACTTGTTGATTTTAGTGATATACAGTCAAATGACCTGCAAAATCTGAGCATAACTCGGGGTTGGATGAGAACATCTTACTGCTTTCTTAGCTCCTGCATGCTGTGATACTACCTAATCACAAACACTTGAAGCTTTTAGGGCAACACAAACAATAACTTGAACCAAATCACAAACAATATGCAAAACACAACCACAGCAAGAACAAAGGATTTTACGTGGTTCGGCAAGTTGCCTACGTCCACGGGGCAAGGAGGGGGGGAGATTTTACTACTAGAAATCAAGGGAATACAAATAGGATTACAAATCTCTCAGACCAAACCCTAAAACAAAACACTTGATCTCTCAAAGTTCTCCCACAATTGGATGCAACAATCCTCTCTCAAAGGCTGCTCAAATTCGTTCTTGCATTAGCCCTAACAAATCTGGTTTTAGTTTATATATCAACTTAAAACCGAATCGGGTCAAAACCTGAAGCCCAGCCCAGATCATCGTCGGTCGACCACCGCGGTCGACCGCGCAGGTCTCGCGGTCGACCGCGACGGTCGATCGAACCCCAAAACCCGAGAGAAAATAGATTACAGTCAATCGCGGTCGACCGCGGCGGTCGACCGCCACCAGCTCCGATTCCTACTACCCTTCATGCACGTTCGCGATCGACCGCACCGGTCGACCGCCAGTCTGCCTGGCAGATGGGTTTGCTGTTTTCCTGATCAAACCGGCTGCATCTGAAAGACTGCCTACGTATCCTCTTGCCCAAGGAATCAAGCCGAACGTAGTTCATCCAAATGGCCTCCAAAGGCCTCAGCACTGAAGGATGTTCAAAAGCTTCAAACAATGACCAAATTTCACACCTGAAACAACTTTGGTCAACATATCTGCAGGGTTGTCATTTGTGTGGACCTTCTCCAATATGACATCTCCATCATCCAAGACGTCCCGTACAAAGTGGAATCTGACGTCGATGTGTTTCGTGCGCGCATGATAAACCTAGTTCTTCGCCAAATAGATAGCTGACATGCTATCACAATATACCCGAATAGTCTCATGAGCGATCCCCAAGTCCTCCAATAATCCACGCAACCATAAAGCCTCCTTAATAGCTTCAGTAATTGTCATATACTCTGCCTCTGTAGTAGAGAGAGCCACTATGGACTGAAGCGTGCAACGCCAACATACAGGTGCACCTGCCAATGTAAAAACATAACCTGACGTAGACCGGTGTTTGTCAAGATCTCCAGCATAATCTGAATCCACATATCCAATACAATTCTGCCCATCCTTCTCGTCCTTCTGAAATACTAAACCAACATCCACGGTACCTCGAACATACCGTAGAATCCACTTCACGGCCTCCCAGTGACCCTTCCCGGGGTCGTGCATATATCTCGATACCATGCTCACGGCGTATGATAAATCTGGCCTCGTACACACCATCGCATACATCAAGCTACCTACTGCACTGGCATATGGGACCTTCGACATATAATCTCTGTCCTCAACTGAAACAGGTGACATCAACGCTGAAAGCTTGAAGTGGGGAGCCAATGGTGTGCTAACTGCTTTTGCATTGCCATCAAAGCTGAATTTCTTCAACATCTTCTGCAAGTAGCTCTTCTGTGTAAGCTTCAATTTCCCCTTCACCCTGTCTCGCTCGATCTCCATACCCAATATCTTCTTTGCCTCTCCAAGATCCTTCATCTCAAACTCGGATGATAACTCCTCTTTCAGCTTTCGAATAGCCGAAGAATTCCTGGAAGCAATAAGCATATCGTCAACATATAAAAGCAAATATATGTGCTCACCATCATGTAGTTTGTGCATATAAACACATGGGTCATATGGGCTCCTCGTGTCCCCTCGGCCAATCATAAAACCGTCGAATCTCTTATACCACTGTCTTGGTGACTGCTTCAAACCATAAAGAGACTTCTTCAGCTTACAAACCAAATCTTCCTTTCCTGCAGCTTTGAAACCCTGAGGTTGTGTCATGTAGATCTGCTCATCTAAATCACCATGTAGAAAGGCTGTCTTCACATCCATCTGGACCAAATCCAAATCCA